AATATTTTGAAATGGTATGTGTAGAATTTTACTGTGAAAGTATGAAATAGTAGAAATATTGTATTAAATCCCAAGGTTCTGTCATTTTAACGTCCACCAAAATTCGTTGGCAAAATTACTTTGTGGCGATCCCAAATTAAAATGGAAAAATAGCAGGAATGTTATGATGATGATGCGATAAGGGACTAAGGATATAAGAACACGAGAAATGATACAACGATGTTCAAAACTATACATTATAACTATTTATTAATTTAAAAAATTAGCTTTACAATATACTTAACTAAATCTACAGTCAATTAACTAACACATACTATTAGATCGAAACTCATTTCATTCATATATTTCATAATTTACGAAACCTTCGCACGTGATATAGAATCATTTTTCAGGATCCCTTGTACGAGGGGTTTTCTATGAAACAGTTCATACAATTTTTTTTAAATAGTAAGTCCTTTTTTATTGCAACAAGTCACTATTTATTACTAAAAGTGATAATTAAAAGATTTAACAACCTCTTATAATTGAGTGGCATATCGTATAATTATCTATGTAAGTTTTTCATTTCATCTGTTTCAATACTACGTTAATTCTTTCATTAACTCCAAACTACCGACGCAGTTCCTCAATTAAACCAAAGAAAATGTAACAACGATTTCCGAACGTGTCAAAGAATTTTATCTTGTTTAAATTAAGAACATTCAAACCATGAGCAAACGAGACCGAGAGTAGGTTACTGGTGGTATACAAAAAAAGTGTGTTTTTTTTTCATTGTAGCAAGCTGTTTACACTTTCATGTCGATGATACTAGGATATCTTAAAATTAGCTTAATGATTAGACTCTTAAAATCTATAAACATTTGGACCATTGACTCATATTAAAACCCGAATATCTTTTTTTTAAAGGAGTTAAAGTAAAATTGTTGGATATTTTTTCCTATATATATATTTTAAAAAAGAAACTAACTCTTACTTAAATCATTTGAAGAAAATCTTTGACCTTATCTACGGCTAAACGAAGTCCCAGGTCCAATTAGGTTTTTTTTTTACCTTAATACGGTCAAAATAGTACCTTCACATGTTCAAATCAGACTAATAGTCAAGTTGATCAGAAAAAAAAATTGTGATGCTAAAGATCTAACATAGATATTAAAGAGAATATTCTTTCTATATATATAATTTACTATAATATTAAAGATAAATGGTGATCATCAATGATAAATATCAGTCTGAGGGCCAGCAAGAGGAACGCAGCGGAGAAGATTTTTTTAAGACATTCGAAAATAAATTTTAAAACTATTAAATGAATAACAATTTTAGTCTATTTCTTTGTTTGTTCTAGCTAATCTTCGTAACAGCTGTACCGATTTAGAAGGATTTCCACTAAGGAATAACAGCTGTACCGATTTGGTAGGATTTCCAATTGGGAATAACGACTCCCTTAAAATGCCCCTTGTGTCCATAAAAAAAAATCATGATTAAATTTAAACATTATTTGTTCCACAACTGTTAACAGAAAATGCAATCGAGTAATATTTCTGCTTTGCCCATTGGAATCATATTATTTGTAATTATAAATAAAAATTTAAGAAAATGTACAATATTAGACATAGTATTTAAAATGCCAGTGCACAGGAGTATAAAATTCTTTAGTTGTTACAGAATGTACAGATTTTAAGGAACATCTTCCTAATTTTTACATATTAAAACTTAATTTAAATAACCAATCACATGTACATTTGATAATAATAGTCTCATCAAGTTCATTATACCTACAGCATGATAAATTGTTATGTAACTGTGGTATGCATCACTTAAATTGTCACCTTTAGAGGGTCGGAAATTTGTTTTTCAAATTTGAATGGGATCTTCATTCAATGCAACCAATTGAAAAAACTCATCTGTTCACAAATGGTAAAGATATTACTTCATCACATTACATCACATCAACAGCCTAAAACAGTCCACTGCTGGACTTAGGCCTCTCCTTAGAAAGGAGGTTTTGGTCTACTATACCACGCTGACCAGACGAGTTGATATAAGATATCAACAATTCAGATATTACTTAGGGTTGACAAAAGCTCCATTTTGAAGACACAAAACAATAGAACTTAACCCTATTAGGGATTGTAAGAGACAATGTAATTAGCTGTGTCATGATGAGATTCTAGATGATAAACATATCTATTTTAACCAGATATTTTAACATTTCAATCCACACTAATATTATAATTGCGAAAGTCTGCCTGTTACCTCTTCACTCTTAAATTGCTGAACTAATTTAGATGATTTTGGTATGGAGATAGCTTGAGTCCTGGGAAAGGACATAGGATAGTATTTATCCCAGGAATAATCCTTTAAGATGGTGAATAGGGGGGTGCAAGTTTGTATGTGGAATCAATAAGCGCTGAACCGATTTTGATGAAATTTGGTATAGAGGTGATTTGAGTTGTGGGGAAGGTCAGGCTACTTTTTACCGCGAAAACCAACACACACGGAGTAGAGACGCAAAACTCAATAAATAAGACTTACTTTAATCTAATGAATGACTCAAACAGTCAGTTTGTTGTGGATGTCGGTTCCCATACAAGGCCCAACATGCACTGATTGTAATTAGCAAAGATTTGTAATTTATAAAAAAGTATGATATTAAACACAGTTAAACAGCTTTGAGCGCTGAGTCGACACTTTTGAGTGAGCATTAAACTCTCAATTGTTTAATGCTCAAAACCAGAAAGGCGTGTGTCATAGCCCTTGGTTATCGACCTTCCGTGCTTTGCTGAGGTTGTTACTATTATTAATTATTTCCCTACTAGCTATTGCCCACGGCTCCGTCCGCGCAAACGTCGGTTATCGCAGTAAAAGGTAGCCTATATCTTACCTCAAGAATCAAAAACTCCATACGAAATTTAATGTAAATCGGTTCAGCGGTTATAGATTCCCCATACAAATTTCCACCACCTTAAAGGATGATTTCTAGGAAAAAAACTACTCTATGTCCTTGCCCGGGACCCAGACTGTCACCATACCAATTTTTAACTAAATCATCGGTTCAGTGGTTTAGGTGTGAAGAGTTAACAGACTGAAAGACACACTTTCGCATTTATAATATCAGTATGGATTATCTTTACTTTTATTATATTTTAATTTTAAACATTTCATACAAATTTTTTACTTATATTTTTTGAAATGTGCTGTCACAAAACTTAGGACCCTACAATCCCTTGTCTCACTTTGTCAAACCCCTCTCCACCCCCTAACGTATGGCTTATTTTATGGAAGGCCCTAATACACAGCACAATATATTTTTTTATCTTTAGTGTGTTATCGGTCTTTGAGATTTTTGATTTCACTCAAAAATAATCACAATGTCTTAATGAAATAATTATTTAAATAAGTTTCAATCTAAATAGCATTTACATTGACACTCTAGTTCGTTACTTCAGTCCATTATTATCGTTTACACTATACATTGAGTCCGTCTCTTCACATCACTGTCAAGTCTCCAAGCTGAGTATGCTTAATTCATTTACTAGTATTTGGTAGTCTGAAACAAATTAAAGATATGAAAATTATATATTTCTCACACCTATGTTTTGCTTAGGGCAACCTTTACTTCTGTCTTATCCTACCACCTCACCTACTAGGAATGATAAAGTAGATTAAAAATTTATTATTTAAGTCAGCTATGAAGTTTAAACGGTGAGCACTGATAGCCTAAGATCTGGCAACAGAATTAGTGCACTCATCGAGTTTTTGCTAAAAACCAAGTTTTTATGTATATTTATGATTAGGAGAATATATATCTACCAAGTCGCCTATCAAAATGTGCCATAAAATATTGTCTACATCACGGCAAAATATATATAAAGATTCTGAAAAATCACGGTTGCCGTTGTGCAGCTGGCAGCACCTCTTCGCAGCCAGGTGTAAACAGATATGATTTTGATACATTTATATGTTCATAACATACTTTTATGATTTATTTATCAAATTAAAGCTATTTTTTTTCTATTTATTATTATATATGGTTGCCTAATTAAATCCGGCTGCAAATAAGGGTTGTTGGCTGTTGAGAATGGTAAATATTTAAAGTAATGTTAAAAATAGATAGCGATTGCCTGCTGTGCAACACTTTTAACCAATTGCGCATGCGTCAAATGCTAGTATTCTCAACTGAATAGTATCACACTCCCATTCGATTAAAATACTAGCGGCCACATTTTGATAGGCAATCTAGTAGATATATATTCTCCTAATCACCATACATAACAATTGGGTTTTTGGCAAAATCTCTATGAGTGCACCAATTCTGTTGCCAGATCTCATACTTTGGTAAATCACATGACTCAAGAAAGTTCTAAATCTAATAAAAAAAGATTGTAATGATAAAAAAAAATTGATGGCATTTTTGTCTATGGCCAAATCACATTCACAGGTGAAATTGCGTTTAAAACCAACCATTTCATTATATGATTATATTATGATTTAAAAGAAGCAATAATTGCCATGACTAGTAAGCACATCAAATATTTAACTATCCAGGGTCATTTATCATTCTTAATTAACTCAATATAAGGGAGGCAGGCTCATTGCTGGATTATTTTTTTCTAAAAAAATTTTTACAATTTTTTGCTAAAAATAATGTATGGTTTACATGTGGTATTATTATTTAAAGCTGCACTTAAAATGATGTCATATGAGCTATAAGCTTCTTTAAAATGGTTGCCTGAACATTTAAAATTAGAGTATGTTTGTATTATTGTTTTAACAGCTCTATACTAAATTCCTATGTCTACATGCATCAATTAATCAATATTTAAACATTTTTGTCAGTCAAGCGGTTATGGTTACAGTTTTTCCAGTTAGCCTTTTCAGTTACTTTTATTATAAAAAAGTGTTAGGGTTCTACAAAAAAAACCTTAAAAATAATATTACATACTTACAAGGTTTACTTTACCTCTATAGTAAAGTAACTAAAAATAAAAAAGGTACTTACCTCAGCACTCCATTGGAGCTATTGAATTTGAATTATCTCCATAACCACTCAAGCTCAAGCCTTGGAACTCCATACCACCGATTTGACTGTCAGCATTGAAAGATGCACCATAAGAATCATTGCTGGGGGCATGAGTAGTCTCTATATTCCCATCTACAGAGTCTGACACAGCAGCAGCATCAGGTTCAGCCCAGTTAATCTTAAATCTAGTTACACGAGGTTCAGAAGCGAGAATATTTCTTACAACTTTGTCAAATTGAGGCTTCGCTGGAGGATTTTCACGTAATTCAGGCTCAGATTCCGAATACTCGTTGTTAATAAAGTAACCAACTCTGACAAATTCCTGACCACGGTAGGAACACGTTAGAAGGACTACTGTCACTCCTAAAGCATCGTTTTCCGGAATTCTCGTCACGTCTGGTGGGGGTGCTTGAAACACAAACATGTGTCTCCCTTCAGGTATAGGTCCGACGTAAATTGTATCCAAAACCTGATCGTGGTCCTCTGTTTCAGCTGACCCCACATAGATCATCTTCCATTCCAAGTCTTCCTTGAGTTCTTCTATACACTCAAAGGTTAATTCAAATTGGAACGGATTGAGAAAAGGACTTGGATTGTCCAATACAACAACATTGGTTATATGTACCTTTGCCATTCTATTTGTTTTATTTTATTAGTAGCTGTTTAATTCGAAGATTGAGAGCAAATTTGGCGTTTATATAGTTAAACGTTAAACGAAATAAGATATGAAGAAAACGTTTTCAGAATTACTGACACAAAAACTGCAGGTCGGCGAAAAAATGACAATTATTTTGGCGGTTGAAATGATCACGTGACCAAAATATATATCGACGGCAGCGCTCGGGTGGATACGACACGTACTAAAATAAAAAAGTAAAGATATTTTGACAGCAGCGATGATCAGCCAAAATCAAAGGATTATGCGAATTAAATGTTGAAGTTTATAACATTTGAAATTACTAGCTTAAAGCAGAAATAAATGTTTTTTTATATAAAAGCGTATTCACTTACATTTTCTGCTGTTTCCTTATTTATTTACCACACAATTTTGAAGAACAAGAAACATCATAAAATGACCATAAACTACAAATACAATGTTGCCAGGACCATTCAAAGGTAAATGTACCTTTATTTTTACATTTTTACGGATAATATTTACTGTTCACACCATTATTGTGCAAAATTAAGTTATGGAAATGGGTTGCTAGTAGATTATTCTCGTTACAAATATCGGTATTGATTCGAAATTTAAATTGATATTTAGTTTAATATTGGCCTTGAAGATAGATTTTAAAATTTTGAGATTTGTAAAATATTTGAGTAAAAATTCCACTCTGGGGAGTGAACAAATTGACTGACTGTAATTGATGGTAAAAGGGAAGGGGAATCAATACCTGCTCCTGAATCAAAATAAAAAAGTTTACAAAATGTAAACATCTACAGGTCTGTTATTTAAAGGTTGAGTGTTTAATTATAAAAGGCAACTTTTAAACTAAATGTCATAAATAATAAATATGGCGTTCGTGCTTTGTATTCATTGTGCGTACTTGCTGTCAAATAATTGTATTGTGATATAAAATCGTATAATAATTAATTCGCAAGCACTAATGCGGTCAAACCACACGTAACAATGATATAGTATGAAGGCCGACAACTAACAATTTACACATAACTCAGGAGAAAGGCACAACTTTCAGACGAAAAAGAGGTATTGTTTTTTCCGCTTTCTTATACATTATAATACTTAACACTTTCTTAACAGCTCTGTTACTTCACTATCTACAACCTTCATGGATATATTTCCTGTCTATTCTTAGTAAATCGTGTGAAAGTTGAGTTTCTTTTCATACTGTTTGTAACATAAAGTGTTATGCTGGAAGTATGTCCTGTCAAATTAAAAACGCATTTCTGACCATTGAGTCATCAGCTGTGCTGTCCCCAAGGTCCTCCGTAATTAATTCAGGCGCCAATTGTCGTTCGCGACTTAAATATGCGTGTATGAAATGAATTAGTACCAAAATGAAGCACAGTTCGAAATTTGAACAATTTATAAAATATATATATCGTATTAGCCCAAAAAAAGACATTTCTTAACGTCGGTTTTCTGTATGGCTGTGGTGTCACTCCGGTCGTGCTTCCCCAAATAAGCCAAAGCATGGCATTACTATCCCTTTTTCTTCCTCACACTTCATTTTTGTTACTCGCCATACATCTATTAAGAACTTAGAGAATTAGCATCACCATTCAACATGGCAATGCTACCAGTCTTCAGAGTATGCTGCCAAAAGGCCACGATGAGGGTTTTTTTTTTTATGCTTATGTGTAAATATTTTAATGGTATTAAGTGTTACTTTTTCAATGCATGTATAAAAGCCTGTTAATAATTATGTTACCTTAATCTTTAACAAATTGATTCTTAATAAGCATTACTTCCATCTTAAGCACTTGTCAAGTCAATCACAAGATATATAGAAAAAAAAAATAGTTTAAAAATATTTTTACAACAATTGAGACCCCATGCTTTTTGATGATACTAGCACCCCATGCTTTTTGATGATACTTAAAATGATTTTTCTTTTTAAACTTAAAGAAAATTATTTCCTACTTTTTAGTTTGGCTAGCTACAAAAGTGTTTTTTTAAACTATAATTTATTTTTCTTTTTTTAGACAGTAATGATGATTATTAACTTATTAAGACTAAAAAAAGTAGCAAGTAAGTTTATCACATATGTTTCAGCACACGCCTTAGTATATGACAAAAGACACTACCGTATTTTTAGGTATTGAGGTGGTCCTGATCAGGATAGTGGGATGACCTATTTAAATTATTGCATTGTCATTAGTATTTAATTTGATGTTTTGAAGATTCCGTTAGAATAGAATAGAATTATTTATTTGGTTTAAACATGAGTGATACAGTACAAATTTTACATTGCATGAACATGTTATATAGGTGATATGTACTACATGTTTTACCAGTTATGGTATACGAAATATATCAATAGTTAAGAAGATTAATTATAATGGAAATAAACATTTTCAAATTACTGTCAACCAATATGTCAAACAAAAAAGATTAAACTGTTACATACATAGATTCATACATACCAAACTAATAAAAGTGTGTTAAAAAAGCCTTTAATACCCAAGTAGTTATTGGTCATAGGGTTGATAATATTAAGTAAATGGCTACAATTAATTGTTGTTGGCAATATTAAGTTGTTTAATACACTCTGATTCATACAAATTTATTACTCCGCTTACCAACTTTGTGTGTATATGTATGTGTGTTCTTTAACTTTTACTTTTGCAGTGTTGTGTTTCATTAAATAACAATTTCACACATCTCACACACTTATATTATTGATAAATTACACATACACAGAACTAATGATTGTGCTCATCACAGAATATTTGTCCTGGGTGGGAGTCCAACCCAGGACCTCAGGTTTAGCAGTCAGGGTCACTAACCACTAGACCAACAGGCCCGTCAATTCTACTTCAGCTGATCAATTCTTGGCAATATATACAAAACTTGCCTAATAAGAGGATGCCTTTGTCAATTAATGGTCACAGTTGTGTCGTACACATTGACCAACAATGTGTTGTGTGATATTGTCATACCACACTTGTAATTTAACCAATTAGTGAAGCTTGCCTTATTATTCTTATAGAATAATATGGCGTATCTTCTTTCTTATAGAATAATATTGTGTGTATTATTGTTTACTTAGTAAAGTCTAAATAAATGTTGTCCTAGTAAAAATGGTATTTCTAATCGCAGGATTAATAGTTGAAAGATTGGGCCTTTCTTGATATATCCTTAGCTTCAATCAAGAGCATCAGGAATTGCGAATAAACCTTTGATCACACATAAACATTTCATGATACTGCAGAATTGGATCAAAGATCTTTCTTTGTTGTTCTTGACTGTTTTCATCTGCATGACTGTCTGTCGATCACACTAATATTATAAAGGCGAAAGTTTGTGAGTGTGTGTGTATGTTATATTTTCGAGCTCAAACGGATGAACCAATTTTGTTAAAATTTCGTATGGAGGTAGCTGACACCCTGGATTAACACATAGGCTACTTTTCATCCGGAATAAATGTAATATGCCCGTAGGATGAGCAAGGAATCGGAACCGCGGGTGCAGCTAGTTGGACAACGTATCTTAACCACCGAGTCCTTGAAAAATTAGAGCAAGTTTAGTTGTCTTTTTTTTTCATGTATGTTATCTTAGAACTCTGTCATTTGTGAACAGTTTTGAAAAACTCTTCTTCTATTTGGGAGGCCAGTGGACATTCCTTGCTGTCCCATTCTAATTTGAAGAATCATTGCCAGACCAAACTACAGAGTAACTATTAATCCTACATAGCAGAATATAATTTCTTGCACCGATTAGTCTGCATACAATTTATACAGACCAATTTCAACCATTGTGCTGAGGATAGTCCCTTTGTGTACCTCCATAAATTACTATTGTTCTGTCAGTAATACCTACCTAAATATATTTTTTTTACTAATTCCAGACGTCCTGAATGAAATCTAAAACAAGATGGCATCGGGCAGAGAGGAAGGTCCCGTTTACTACAGAGAAATACAAAAAAACGCATATTTGAAAAGGATACCAAATGACGTCACTGGCAGCAAACTCAGACCCCTAGGTGGCAAAGTATGTACTTAAGCTTAATTTTTTTTTATAAAAAGACAACTCCCGCATTAGAAATATATCCTGTGTCACGGGGGACTTTACAAACATACATGAAACGGACACAAAGAACACCCAGACTCAGAACAACAATTTGTGGATCACACAAGGTGTCGTCATATGTGGGGATCGGACCCACAACACTCAGCGCAATAGGCGGCGTGGCGCGGCTTGACGACCGCTTAAACCACTACGCCATCCGTGCAGTCAAATGTACGATAGATGAACACTCCTGGGAGTCTACAGTAAGTTTATTTCACATCAAGTCGATCGTCACGGTGATCGCGTTGAGCATTGCAGATTGGCCCGCACCGAACTCTTCACCAACGCAGAACGCGGGTTAATGTAAAATAAACTCACTAGGCCCTATATATAAGCCTCGATGGCTTAAATAAAATATATGCAACAGACCAGACCATGAATGTTTCGGTGTATACATGTTGCAATAGTTTTAAACAAAAACTGTCATGTCTGGATGGAATAGAATCACAGTCTCCTGTAATAAAGCATATCATTTTAAAATATTTAATCACACCTGTGACTAATTTACAAAATCGCTATGATTATGCTAGCACAACACGAAGAGCGCAGAGCGCAAAGATCTAAATCTAAAAAATAAGTTTGCACAAGTTACAATGTCATTTGTCTCGTCATTGACCAAATTATACCAGTGGTTTATCACAGTTGAAATCGCAGTGACTAAAACTAATCATTTCAAAATATGATTATGATTTAAAAGTAGCAATAGTTTCCATTACTAATTCCAGACCATTCCGGCAGACTCGTAGTAGATATCACGAAAGGTAAAAAAAAAAAATACTTTTTAGGTTATCAATTGTTATATTTTCATTATTAGACTTAAAAAAAAACTACCTTTTTCATTAAAACGTTACACATTTCACCAGCCCTAAATACAATGAAAAAAGGATTCCTGTCCTTTTCGCAATTGAGATGATTATAATAAACTGACATTCACCAATTTTTCCAGAAATTACCTTTAAAAGCAATGTGGACCCAATTCTGCGTTCATAACGGCCGGACTCCGTACCTCGAACAATACCCGGACGCGGAATCTCCAGCTACTCTCACTCATAAACCAGTTTGGAGAGCTTGTCTGCTCACAGCGAGACACGTAACAGCCAGTGTGAAGCCCCACAGCGGGGACCAGTATGACTTCCTGATTGATACAGACCTTGGAGCAGTCAGAATGCTGGCACCTGATTGGTGAGTTTAGTTGCCCCGTTAGTCGTATTGCCGCATTATAGTGAAATCAGCGTTTGCTTAGCTTTTGATCGCTTATGTTATATTAAAAATAATAATAACTTTATTTAACTTGTACTTGTTACAATTATACGACGACGGGTTTGTTGGTCGAGTAGTTAGTGCTAAGCCAGAGGTCTTGGGTTCCATTCCCGTCCAGGACATATAATTGTATGTATAATTGTATGAGATGATGATCATTTATTCTGTATCTGGGTATAATTAATCTGTAATTTATAAGTATGATTATCATAGTACAGGCTCTGCCTAGTTTGGGATCAGACGGCCGTGTGTGAGATGTGTGAAGTTATTATTGTAATAAAATTATATAACACAATAAAGCCTTACAACCATATTAGGTGTACAAAGTAGACCCTGCCTTCCAAACTACGTAGTAGGCTCTTCATGTTATTTCAGTTTAGATACTTTTAGTAACCGTGTGTGTTTGTGTGTGTGTTAGAGTATGTTGGATTTAGGTAGTTATACCTCAAGAACAGAGTCATGAATATGTATTGTCCTTTAGGGAGTCGATGCAAGACTGGGTGAGCACCCTCCGCAACACTCTGCACGAGCTGAAGGTGCTGTCGAAGGGCGAGAACGTGTACTGCGTGCCTCCGGTGGCAGCGCCCCCCGCCCCCCCGCGGGCTCTGGCGCGCGACCCCACGTCGCCGCTGCCCCCCACGCCGCCAACGCCCCCCGATAGGTCCACTTGTTTTATATTAACTCATTTAGCTTACATTTAAAATCATCTATGAGTATATATATAAATGTTAAGTGGGTTTGTGTACGCTTCAAAAAGGCAAAAATCTATGCACCAATTGAGCTCATAATTTGACACCATGTACAAAACAACTTCAAATATTGTTTTTGTCTATTTTTCGCGTCAGTTTTTGACCTAATATCTCATCAATGCTGCCACAATGTGCCACAGCGTAGCATGGTAGGGAACTTCTTGGTCACTTATAAAGTTTCGCGTTCCACAAAAGTATTTGTATATTATAATGAACAAAGTTAAAGATTTACGACCGTATGTGCTATAAAGTTAATGACTAGGTATATATAAGTATAGTTTAGTCCAGTATATGTTGACCTGTCGTGGTACAGAAGTCTATACTATGACAGTTCAAGTTAGGTTAGATTAATGAAATACGACCTTCAGAATTTATATCTTTAGCTATTATTATAAGGGGATCGATGCGATGCTATGAAATAGCGAATTTTAAATGTAAAAAAAAAGTTGTTTCAGAAATTGTGCGGGTAGACGAAAACCTTTTTGTTTTGAGTCAGTCAGCTTATGACTAAATCCAGTGCAACCTAGTCAAAGTATCAAAGGGATGAATGATAAAACCCTGTGACATTAAGTCCGCCATTGTACAACCCATACTTGTGCATAAAGTACCTATTAAATAAAATAAAATAAATTAATTCAAAACCCAAATGGCGGCTTGACCGGAGTCTCATCACAACCTCACAAAAACCGGTTATAATCCACTCTCTCGTTTCTTCTCACTGAATGAGTTTGGTGTGGTTACCAGAACCCTGTGTAGTTAGTATCTACTATTGTCATCAGATCAGGATCTGGGGGCTTAGTGTGAGTTTATCCCACATCAACTCGATCGTCACGGGTGGACGTGAAATAAAATCACACTAGGTACTCTGATGTTTCGTTTTTTTTTTTTTTCAATATCCTAATTCTAATGCGAAATTGTAGTTTCTTGATATCTAAATTACGAGTACAAAGTTAATGAACAAATTTTACCAAGTTAACAAATGTAGAAATTCTTAAAAAGAATATAGATACTCTTATAGGAATTTAGGTTTTATTTATAGGTGTATTTCTGTACGCGGAACAGATGATGATGACCACAGATGGTCACCGGGGGTGCTTTAATAATAAGGGGTTAAGATTCGATAACTTGGTTAAGAAATGTAGTCTGGTCACAATGCATGTCATACCAGAACTCCTCAATAAACTTTAACAGGCCTGTTGGTCTAGTGGTTAGTGACCCTGACTGCTAAGCAAGAGGTCGTAGGTTCGATTTCCACCCAGAACAAATAATTAACGTCCCAGCGTAGAAAAAACTGATGTTTTATAAAGGGCGAATTAGCAGTTGATGTTAGGTTATTGTAAGTTAGATAAATACTGCCTCTAAGGGTGAAAAATAAAGAATGTAGGTTATTGTAATTTATAATGGTTTAGGCACCTTGAAGTCAGTTACTTTTTTTTAAATTAATCATCATCATTAATCATCATTGAAATAAAACTTGATGTTCGCTGATATTATCTATGGCATATCATAGATAATATTAGCAAAAAAAAAATGAATTGTAAATATTTTTTTAAATGTTTATTAAAACAGAGATATTAAACATAAAACCTAGTTTTATTTCAATGTGTATTTTTACTTTTTCACAACTAAGTCTATTTCGATTGCAGGAAGCGATTTTGACGTTTTGAAAATATCCAATTTACACCAGAAACCAAAAACTATTTTAAGTCAAAGTCGTAAAGTTTTTTATAAGAGTTAGAAAAACTATAAAAAGTATTTTTAGTCATAGGAAGACTACACGTCGGATTGATTAGTTACATACTTGTAGTTCCGCGTGGTGAAGAATTAAGAATAAAGAGTGTCACAACCCCGTATTCATCCCGTGGGTGTCGTACGAGCTGACTAAGGGAGCAAACTCTACAGGACAACAGCACTGCACAGAGGAGGAAAACTTGACACAAACCCTTTTTTTTTTTTTTTAACGTGTGGAAATCCCCTCGGACCGTCACCCCACCGGGGTTTGCGGCGGGGTGGTGTGTCGGACTCGGACCGACTAAAACCACACGGTGTGCCACTCTGCGCCTGTAATAGGAGGGATCCGGGAACTGCTGTTATTAAGACATCCGGACCCCTCCTAGCGCCAGCCCGCTCCTGGTGCGGGCTCCGTCTCAAAATTCTCCTCTCTTTAGGCGACGTCCGGCACACGCGGACGCCGCCCCCTCGCGGCTGGCCAAACTAATGCGGGTGGAGGGGAAACCCACCCCGTCCACCCGCGGCCACACTCAGGGCGGCATGAGGCGGTGATAGGCGCGCCTCCGCCGCCCGGTTCGCCGGCGGCGGATCGGGTCCGAGTGGAGGTCGTCCTCCCGGGCCTTCTTCGCCGCCTCCTTCTGCGAGATTACTTCCTCGCAGAAGGTTGCGAACGCGGTAAAACAACTGGCGCTACCGGCCATGGAGCGTACTACGGCCGATAGCGAGAGATCCACTCCGATGACTGCAGTGAGGGCCCGGCGCTGCGCCGCCCATGCGGGGCAGACCGCCAGCGTGTGCTGGGCCGAGTCCTCACTGCAGTCGCAGTGGTGGCAGGCGGGACTCAGTTCCCTCCTAGCGACCGAGTGCAGGTACTTTCCGAAGCAACCGTGCCCGGAAAGCACCTGCGTCAGCCGGAAGGTAAGGGTCCCGTGCTGCCGCCCTGCCCACTCGGCGGCCCACTTGACACAAACCCTATACCAACCCTTCTGTCCAGCGTCGCAAAGTAAGCCATAACCTCCTTTCTAAGGAGAGCTATGTCCAGCAGTAGACTATCACGTTAAGGCCAATTTCCGAGATATGAGATTTTCGCCTTATGCCATTCATATTAAGCCTTATATTATAGTCGCTTAGATTTAAAACTGCAGTTGTCATTTAAAAGGAACGTCTGATTAGTAGTTTTTTGATCTAAAATTAAACATTGGATATCAACAGTAGTAAAAAAATACTATGTTATGTTCGACCACGGACTTGGACCTGTCGGTCTGTTGAAGTGGGCTGCGTCACGTCTTCAGTTCACCGGTTCATCAACAGCCTTTACTAGTCCACTGCTGGACATAGGCCTCTCCTTAGGAAGGAGGCTTTGGCCTACTATACCACGCTGGCCAGACGGGTTGATATAGGGTTTGTGTCAAGTTTTCCCTCTCTCTGCAGTGCTGTTGTCCTGCGTAGTTTGCTCCCTTAGTCGCCTCTTACGACACCCACGGGATGACAAGGGGTGGTGACACTCTGTATTCTTAATCCGTCACCACACGGACAGTTCACCGGTTAAGTTATTTAATTAAAATGAATACAAAAACATATTGTCTGTTGTGATTTTTTTAAACAACTCAGCATGCTGTGTCAGAAGAGATAATAATTACTCGATAGAAAAAGAGGAAATTTCTAGGTAAATATAACTGTAGGCAATTAGCGGTTTGCGACCTAAAGTGTACCCTATAGTGTGCTAGTTAGAGTTGTTATTTATTTAACTGATTTTGATAGTTAAGTTGCGATAAAAAAAATGTTTACTAATGCATTAACTTGGGTATCAGCATAAGCGCAACTCAAAAGCCATTCGGTCTAATGTCGAATGCTAAAAATAATTACTTTAACATTATTTTTATGGCATAGGGAGCAAACCAGTAGATGAGACTTGGTAACTGACTTTGGCCGTCGTTGGACACCTGAAAATAGATTTGCCACCCTTGTAGTTCCTCCCTCAGAGGAAGGAAGGTTTAGTCCTCGGTCACCTCACTCGCTCAATGCAACGAAAGAAGTCTTAACTATGGTTTTCTGTGAAGCCTTGGTATTGGTGGCCCCTTTTTTTTGTCTTTTTTTTTAAAGACAACTATTCTGGATGTGTATCCTGTGTCGCGGGGGACTTTAAAAACATTTATGAAACGGACACAAAGAACACCCCGCCTCGGAATAACAATTTGTGGATCACACAGTGTTGTCCCATGTGGGGATCGAACCCACAACACTCAACACAATAGGAAGCATCCCTGCAGTCAAATATAGGTCGAAGCATGCCGAACCTCCCGCGGTTAATAATATTGATACAAATGACCACATATAGAAAGGACGTTAACGGCTATTGTACATCAGAAATTTATTATATATATTTCTTGACACCGTTTTTCCAAGACCAAGAAGGTTACCTAGGGACCCATTTAAATAATGTTGTCAAAAAAACTGACAAATTTTTCATTTCACAGGGTCCCCGGCATCGAACTGGCACCCACTCGAACGATAACCGAACCAACTAGACAACCAGAACCAAATATTCCTGCCGCAATAGTCACTCCAGAACCATCCCCTACGGAAACACAACCAACTCCTGAACCCCCACAAGAAAACATTGACATATCAAATTGGGACTCTTCGCACACATTTTCTTCTTTACCAAGCACGAGTCAGGGAAGACCTGAATCTGGAAACGAGTCTAAGAAGAATCTCGACTCTCGAAAGGGTGTGGCTAAGATCTGTGGTCAGAACATTTGTTTGGATGATTCACTGTTCAAGAGAACGAGCACTGAGAGTGATGAAGAATTCTTTGCTGAAATTGATCGGATGACAGATGATGAGTCGGAAAATGATTTTAAACAGAGAGTCGTTGTTAGTAATGAGGAGAAAGAGACGAATGGAGAATCAAGGTTAGTTTCAGAGATTTTTTATTAATAACTAGCTATTTACCGCGTTTTCACTGCTGTTTTTATTCTTCGTGTTTCTAACTTTGAAAATAACAAACTTTCAAGCAATCGTTTATTCCTTATTTTACCTGAAACTGAATTTGTAACTATTTAAAATGAATGTTATTTTCAGTAATCATCAAGCAACTAACATTACAGTCATACAAGTGTCAAACAAGGAGCCCCCTCACACAGCAATACCCGTTTTGGGTCCAGAAACGGACGTTTTCAACTTTGACTTCAAACAGCAAGTCACAATCACCGAACGAGCCAGTCCCAACTTTGTAAATATAGTCAATACCGAGCAGAACGACTACGGGACGACTTTTGGAACGGCTAAGAACGAATCAGAGTACGGTCATTTGAGTCTTACAACAACAGTAAATCTCACAGGAACGAATGATTCGAACTTCGAAAACCAGCCGACTTCGATTCTAACGAACCATACGACTTCGAACTCGGAAGAAGTGTACGAAAGATTGTGCATGGCGTCTACTTCTAACTCTAAACCTTCTCCGTTACCAGTTAAGAAGTTGAAAAGTGTTGATAAAAGTCGGAAATCGTCTTTGCCAAATTTAGAAGTCGCAGATTCCGCTTACGAATATTTGTTTTTGAGTAATAATAATACCGGGTCGGTTAGTGTTACGAATGAAGTCAATTGTAACGGTGAATCAAGGGTACAAGTCAATTCAGGGTCGAATAGTGACCCTATTAATAGAGTGAGGTCTGTAGAAAGATCGAGAAGCCAGAACGCGTATGATGCTGCTCCTGGAACGCTAGAGAATAGAAATAGAAGAGCACCGAATAACAGTCCAAAGAGAGAAATAAAAAATGGTAAGCGTCTCGACTACTATTATGATCAACCCGTCTGGCCCGTGGCCAAAATCTCCTTTCTAAGGAGAGGCCTATGTCCAGCAGTGGATAAATAAAGGCTGTTTATGATGATGATGATGATGATGATGACTATTATGAAGTACGGAGCTACTGCAGACCAAGTCTATATTTTTATGGTATAGGAGGGAAAACGAGCAGACGGGTCGCCTGATGGTAAGTGATAATCCTCGGCCAATGACACCTGCTACTCACAAGAAAGTCACAAGTGCATTGCTGCCACTTGAGTGTTCCCCTCCTCCCCCCAGAATTAGGCTGAGGGGAGGTTTGGGGCTCTAGTAACATCACACCCTCGAGACTGAATGGTGGTGGCCAGCCATAATAGAAACCGCCCATAAAAGATAGTTTGAGTTTGTTTAAAGTTAGAAAGAAACTGCTCTCAAAAACTGATATGCTAATATCCTTATGTTACTAGTATACAGAGTATAACTGGTACTCAAAACAAAGCGTCAATTGTAACATTGCTGCATTCCACAACTGCACAACTTATATTACAAACGATATTATTCTAAAACTTGTGGAATGCGATTTAATACTTCAAAATGTTGTTTCCAGAGAACACCGAAACAACACAGCCACAGAAGCCGATATGGAAACGAGGATTGACGGAATTATCTTTGCTGACCAGGTTACGATCTATCGGCCAGACAAAAAAGCAAGACAGTCCGACCCGACAAGACGATAATCACGACAGGTATTCTCTTCTTGCTCTTCTGCCGTCATTTTTTCGATATCTTCTGTGGACCTCATGTAAGAGTGCCGCATATCCTGTTAACCTGACCTGAGTGTGATGGAATATACAGGTTATTATTATAGATTATTTATCCACACAATATTTATCCTATATTATTGTACATTTTCCAGAAGTCCCACTGTCACGTCCCCAGTGAAGGTGGTTCACAGATCAAGAGCAGAAAACAGAGTGGACAGCACTAGGAGAAGAAGTAGCTCGTTAAGTAATGGTAAATAACACACTATATATTACTATGACAGACAGATATATATACAGGGTGTAAAGTACGTCGTAACGAATACTGAAATAGTGTATGCAGACCATCGTTCTAAGTCGAAAATCCATTTTTTTCATGATTTTCCATTTTTTGTAATTAATCAAACAGCCGAAGTGCGCGGCACTCCCCTCACCCCCTGTGTTGGTGTGCGTAGACTATTTGCACGGAATACAAATGTAGTTATTACTTTTGTGCGATACCTACGGGGAATGACCTTAACGTTTGACAGCTGATTGCACAGAACGTTTAATTTTCCAATTATTTTTGAATCAGAATGATGGTCGGAATACACTATTTCAGTATTCGTTACGACCTCTCTTACAAATTGTATATGCAGCAAGCTATAGTTTTTTGGAATCTGATTGATCAGGGACGAAACTTGATCAATGCGTCACTATTTTCTTAAGGCGAATGGATTATACACCATTTCTTTTTTTATATTACAGGTCAATCGCCCGTAATAACTCCAATTCCAAATCTAATAAGCCTCCGAACCCGTCAAGCGGCCGCCCTCCGAGCTGAACAACGCCGAGGCGCGGCGCTAGTCGCTTCTATCTCCGTTAGGGATTCGCTCATCTTCGCTGACTACGACAACCAAGTGTGGTGAGTAAGGGTGGGAGTCTGCGTTCTTGTACATACACTTGCATAATAAAATCGCTATTGCTTGTGATATAGGACATTTACAGTATTACAGAATAGAATACCGGATTTAGAGAGTCAAGCTCTGTAGATTTCACGAAGCGAAGTCTCTGTGATTATCCCTGTGACTGTGATTTGGTCATAGACACAAATAGTTGCCATCCTCCCTACTATAAAGACAAAAATATAATAATTATCCAATTTGGTGCAGTCGTTCGGCAGTTTTACGCCTGCTTACATTTCGGCGATTCATTTTTATTTATATATATAGATAGGCAGTAATGTATATGATTTATACTATAATACATTAAACTTAATATTTATTTAAAGTTACGATTGTTCAAAGTACAAACGCATCATTCTTATCGATGATCACACCCATCTACCAATTGTACGCCTCTATAACGCGTAAATAAGTAGGATGGATTGCAATTATTTGTGTAGTTCTAGTAAAGTTCTTTTTATTAAAGAGATTACCTTTTTTTTATTGAAATCTTTCGCGTGCCTGATGCTAGCTTAGTAATGATAATAAGTGGCTTTGTAAATTAATCACAGGTGTGATTGTTTTATTTATTCTTTTTCATTTAGGAAAACAAAAAGTAGTATAACAAGTATACATATAAAATTTTTGGAATTAAACTTAACTGATATCTATACTAAATTAATTTATATGAATTGTAAATCATATAGATTATGATAGCTGATTGTAATTTTAATCCGTCCCTAGAAGATATGTGTGGTGTGTTGATGCGCTTGTCCCTGTGTGTCAGGGTGTCGTGGTGGGGCGCGGCGGGCGCGCGCGCGGGGGGGCGCGCGGGGGACCGCGTGGCGGCGCTCGCCGGCCGCGCGCTCCGCAGCGCCGCGCGCGCCGCGCACCTGCTGCACCGCCCCGCCGCCGGACACCACGCCGTACGTACCCACCTACACTACACGCCCGTACACGCTACACTGTAACACCCTGTATATCACTGTCTTTTTTTAAAGGGGCAACTTCGTTAGGCGCGTTGAGCGTTTTTGAACAACAAACAAAAGAGTGTATTTTTTGAGATGGGAAAAACCATTGAACTCTCGACACTGTTACCGTTACCGACACCTCTGTGTATAAGTATCTACATATTATATTGGCCCCGTTTACACCAGAGTTGAGTTTGGGTTGAAATAAATTGATAATATAAACATGTATTATGTATACGTACAGCACAGATATATATTCATGTCGGAACTTTTCGAATCATAAAAACAATATTTTTTTATGTTATAATCAAGTTTTTAAATTTTTATTTCTGTCAACACTCCCGGAATGCCACTTGTTTTTTTAAACCCCAAAATGCTAAACGCAGTCCATTTTTGTATGATATACTATTTCGTGACGTTATACCTAGCTATTGTCAAATCGTTTATATTTAATATTAATAATATTATCGTAATAATATAATATTTTCACACACATCTCTGGTCTGGTCCTAAACTAGGCAGAGTCTGTACTATGGTAACTAGACTACTAGTAAACATACTTATATATTTCTAGATACATACATATTACAGGTAAAGTACACCCAGACACACAACAAACGACACAATTATTTGTCCTGGGTGGCATCGAACCTAATTTAATTTAATATCGATATCAAGATATCAAACCAATAAATATATTAAATTGATAATGGAAGACAATTCAGGCTCTACTTTAAGATGTTACATTTGATAATACATTTTAAACCTAGAATTCTACCCTATTGCATTACAGATCATCTAGAGATATTTAATGCTGATGTTTATAATTAATATGTTTTTAATTTATTTTCTAGGTAGACATACATTACCACCGGGTGCCGCTCGGTAAAATATACGTCATAACCAAGAGAGATCAAGAAAGTATAGGTAAGTGGTTTCAAATTCCTGTAAATTACTGTTACGTTAAAGGCCGTGTCAGACAACGTGTGAAGCGGGGCGGTGACGCGGTGTAACCATCATCATCTGCCTACCCTTTTCCCAATTTTATTTGGGGTGGGCGCAGTATGTATGATTTCTTCATTCTACTCTGTCATGCGTCATCTCACTGTTTACTACCTTCCTAGCCATATCCTCCCTCACGCAGTCCATCCACCTTTTCTTCGGTCTGCCTCTTCTCTTGTACCCTTCAACTCCCATACCTAAAACTTTCTTCGCCACATTTTCCTCATCCCTCCGCGTGACATGTCCATACCAAGATAACCTATTACTTCTTAACTTTTCATCCAGTGGCGCTACTTTCAGACTCCCTCGTATATACTCATTCCTAACCTTGTCCATCTGAGTCACACCACATATCCATCTCAGCATTCGCATTTCGGCTACGTTCAGGCGTCTCTCATCCGTCCTCTTCATGGGCCAACTTTCAGAACCATACAGGACGGCAGGTCTGATAATAGTTTTATAAATTTGTCCCTTCAGTGTTAAGGGGAAACTGGGGTCACAAGTTGTTCCCGTTACCTGCCGCCACTTCATCCATCCCGTATTGATTCGATGCTGTACAGTTCGATCAATCTCACCATCACATTGTAAGAGGGTAACCACGTAACCTAAATTTTGCTTTAAGAATAAAACGTAGCTAATTTAGAAGATATCACAGATACGTCGCGATAGATAGATATACAACCACTCGCGCTGCATTTCTGTCCCGAACCGCCCGATGTCTGCAACAGCCTTTAATCGATTAATTTATGTCTACGAATGATTTATGTAACAATATCGTTATACTATCCTTTGATAAGAATTAACTTCGGATAAATAAATCCCGATTATTACGGATTTTTAAATCAAAATTGTAGATTTGTTTTGTTAAAGCTAACATTGCTAAAATATGTATTGAAAAACTAATATTATGAAAAGCTATAAGCTTCTATGTGGATATCTTTATAAAGAGATCAAAACCCCAAATGTGTGTTCTATGTTTATTAAAATAATTATGAAAAATGAATGTGATATTTTTTAATCCTAAAACGTACATATGGGAATTAAGTACCAAAAACTCGAGGTTCGTATCGTAACTCGCGGATCTAGATCTCTAATGAATCCGTCACATCACTAATATTGTAGGTAATTAACTAATTACAATAATACTCGTATACTTCTAAATATGGAAATTACAAAAAAATTAAACGAGGTGAATTGCAAATGTACCGAGGCTTTATTCAAAGAGCATAAACATAGACAATAATGACGTTGACATTTGCTAGTGTTGTCACATTAGTGAAGGGGTGCGTTCCAATTTAATAAATATTTAAACTTTTTTTTGTTTCAGGTTTAAAGCTGGACGGTGAATGCAACATAGTTCGTGTGGAGGCGAACAGTGGGGCGGCCCGCGCTGGTCTCCCCCCTCCGGGCCACTGGGCGCTCACTGAGATTAACAACAGACCTATCAACTTACTTAAGGTTAGTCAATAATAGTAATTCCGTTTTTTCTGATGGCAAGAAGATTTTGTCTCTGTCCTCGTGGCGTGTTCAATCACAGGATTGACATACAGAGGTCGTAGCAGCTCTTATAGCTGCTGCAGTCTCAGTACCGTTTCTGATTCATTCAGTTCTTAATAGACCACTGCTGAGCATAGGTCTATCGTTAGAAAGAAGGTTTACGGCCTACTACACCATGCTGGCCAGACATATATTGGGTTTTTTCCCTAGTCGGCTCATACCATACCCACTGGATATGTAGGGATGTTGAAAATCCGTATTCTCAATCTGTCACCACACGGTTATCGGACCCGTGCCCTGTTCGTGTATCTCATACCCTAGTTTTATTGTGAGAGAACCATGCTTCCGTATACCAGGCACATATAGACTGGCTGGACTGGAGTGATACCACGCCTCCCCCCTCACACCGAGGTGGGGGGGGGTCTGTCATAGGGCGAACATTTTCATGGGCGGTGGTAGTCACCTACCATCAGGTGACCCTTTTGCTCGTTTGCCTTTCAAAGCTTCATCATCGCGTTCAAGCAAACATACGGTAATTAAAACAGACAAATACAGTGGGGACTTCGTTTTATAATATGTAGTTATAAAAAGCCAGCGACCCAAAGTAGCTATAATGTAGTACTAGTTTTGGCCGTGGCTCCGCCCGCATGTATGTCGGTTACCGCAGTAAAGAGTAGCCTATGTCCTTCCACAAGAATCAAAGTATCTCAATTTCATTTAATTAAAATCGGTACAGCAGCTTAGCCGTGAAAGCGTAACAGACAGACAGAGTTACTTTTACATTTATAATATCAGTAGGGATAAAGTGCTATAACTATAAAAAAAAAACTACAGTCTTGAATCATTATTTTTTTCTGCTGTCAGGGCGGAGAAGACGACATGAACCGACTTAGTAGACATGGAACCGAAGTCTCCGTACTCATCCAACCATCAGCTTTAGTCAAGAAACTGCGCTCCGCACTCAAAGGAAACAAGACCCTACTCGGACTGAGATAAGACTCACTTAGAGGTTGCACTGATGTTGTGTGTGTGTGTGTGACGTCACTAGTTAGTACAGATTATCCATCCATATAAAAATAGGCATAGACAAAACAGTAGTACCAATTTCTCGTCTGTTTTTAAGTAACAAATTGTTATTAATGATTACAGTCCAATTGGGGCCTAACCGACATTTAACTTTTTTAACCCTTTGAACGCTATTTCTACGCCATATTTGGTACGTTTTTTTTTTGCAAAAACTTAATTGTTGATTTTGTATATCCTATTTTGCCACATATCGGCGTAAAAAATGTGATAGTGTAATACATATTCCTGTTACTGCTAAGGGAGTAGACAGCTATGGTTTATTCGAGTAATATCATTACTGGAATTATTACTTAGAATGGGAGACATATATTTTTCTTAAGAAAGGTTATAAGCTATGTAACATCACGCTATGGCTCTTAGGAACAGTGCAGTGACAACTAACGTAGTTAAAACTGCGTGTTTGAAGTCAGAATGCAATTAAAAAAAAAAATCTACACCAGGAAGTACCACTTTGTATTTGAAACTATGGTGGTAGTTTTTTTTTTTGTTTGTGAAATGTTAGACTGAAAAATTACCGACTTCAAAAAAGGTGGAGTGCCGTAAGAGTAGGCTTAATTTTTTTATAATTTTAATTGATTACAAGATCAGTCTTACACTGTCGTCTCTAAGGGTAGAGTATTAAGGGATGATATTGAATTTTATATCATTTTGGACCATTGAAGTTGGTTATACTTTTAATAAATAAGTAATACCAACACAACAATACAATATATAAATATTAAATATATAATGATTTAAGCCAGTGAAATGATAGATAATTTATAGAAACGTTTCATAATAATAATAATTATGTGTACGTATGTAAATATGCCTAAACGACGTAGGGGAACAATTTTTTTAAACCTTTTTTAGGAAATAAATTTAAAAAAAGTTGTATAAACTTTTACAAATATACATAAAGTTAGGTGATACGCAATTTATAGAACTTTTTTTTTAATAATAAGTAATTGTAGTGATGTATAAAGAAAAATATGAACCGACTTCAAAAAAAATGTATACCACATTAGTGGTAGCGGCTGGTTTTAAGCGGCCAAGTTACAAGACTAATAATTTATAATTGGATCTCTAACAAATCTTATAAATTAAAAATATTTATATGGAAATTTATTTATATTAACATGTATTTTCTTCATTACGGTATATGTTACTTTAAAATGAAAATGCTTTGAAATATAAGCCGTGACCGAGAACTCCGGCAAATATAGACTCGACCGGAGTAATAACACAGCCTTACAGGAACCGGTCTTAAACAATATTTACGTTGATCTTCAGCGAGAGACCGAGTTACCGTAGGCCTAACTCCTAGAGAGGGACTCTCTAAACTCTGAGGGGGACTCTTCAGTTACAGATGTTGATTCATAACCTACTTGGTCCCAGTTCATATTCTACTTGGTCCCACTTCATAACCTACTTAGTCCCAGTTCTAAATCTATTTAATCTCAAAATATAGTTTTTTGGCACCATATTTTTGCAGAATTTGGGTACCTAACAGGAAACATAGTAAATTATGTGATTGTGATTATGTGTTGTTATACTTTTAATAAAATGTATTTAATGAACACCTTCATATGTTAATTCACCAATTATTGTCTTATACAAGAAGAAAAAAAGCTCCAGTATAGAATATTCATAATTATTAATGTGTGGTTCGACACCGACGGGTCGCTTTCCTTCTTGATAAAGGATCTCGGTCGAGTCCAAACCTATTATCCCCAAAACATAGTCGAGTAAAAATGTATCTTTGATAGAGAAATTGTGCAGGCCACGCTAGGCCCACATCATATCAAGTCAATATATAGTTGTAATTGTATTTTTAGTTATTTTTCATCAATTTTACATAATTATTTTAATTTATATTAAATATACATATCTCAATATTGTGATCGAATCTACTATTTTAAGACGGCAATATAAAATTTATAAATTTATTTGACTTTTATTGCTTTTTAAGTAAATAACAGGCCTCATAAGGTATTCTTTTGTTGCTGTTTATGTATATGCGTGTGTGTGTATGTGATGCGGTGTGCGATGCGTGTAAATGTGCGTGTGTGTGTGTGTGTGTGTAAGTGTGTTTGTGTGTGCGTGTGTCAGTTGTTTCTGGTTGAGATCAGTTACCTCAAAGGCATTCTATTAGAGTCTTTTTATAGTAACATTAGAGAAATATTTAGTTTAGGGTGAAGTGATAGACTTCTAAGATAAATCTATTCTTAGAAACGTTAAAATCCAGCCAGGTGTCCATTCTTACAGTATAACGCGGATAAGGCGAGGCGTTGGACCACCCCCACCGGGAGGGTAACTGAATTCTACGAAAAATACCTAGTTTAAGAGCCGAGTGTGTTATAATAAAAATGTGCGAATTGTGTCATACACTGTCTAGAAAAATTAGAACGGCAAAAACATCCATACGTCTTCTATCTTGAGTAGATGAGTCATGGGCAGTTATATGTAGGTTTATTAATGATAGTTAGTATGACCTTGTGTGAAAGGTTCAAAGTCACCAGAGGAAGATCGTAAGGCATCTCAGAATAGAAGTCAGGGGAGGAAGGCGTGAGAAGCTGAGTCATAAAGTGAGGGTAATTATTTTCCAATTATTAAAACATCAATTTTGATTTAAATTACTGATATAATACATACTTTCTTTTAAATAAAAAACAACTCCCGCATTAGGAATTTATCCTGTGTCGCGGGGGACACGGTATTAAGTAATATTTTCGTGTTTTCACCGAGTGAGTGAAGTTACACGAGGCCCTTAAAAGAGGGCCCGTTTCTTTCCTTATGATAAAAAAAAAAAACCCAATATCAAATAAAAATATATTGTCAGTAGAACATTGCTTAACTTAGCTCCATGCGTAGTATAAGATATGACACTACGCGATCGTCACGACGACCGACGTCACCACCGCCACCTACCAATCCCAGCCCCACCAGTGTCTTAGCGCAAAATTTCTTAACAAATAAATGATTTGATTAACGTCTGTCCTTACTATGTTGTGTATATTTTACGACCCTTTATCTCAAACTATGTTGGGGTCGGCTTTAATCTACTACGATATGACTAAATCTCGATTGTTTACGTGTAGCAACTGCCATGAGACCACCACAACCCAAGTACTAGGCGATATCGAAGTACTGTAGAAAGACTGTTATTGGAACTTTTAGGGCTCCAACTCCAACGTAACGATTGCCTCACATGTTCGTATGCCAACCAGGACCGACAAAGTAACGTGCTCTCCGAGGCACCGGAGCCTTAATATGTTGTATAACAACACGATAATAGGTATTAGTCCCTTTTAAACCGACTTCACAAAAAGGAGGTTTAATTCCGCTGTTTAATTATTTTTGTTACCTCAGTACTTCATCATTTATAAATCGATTGAGAAAATTCTATTTTATTAAAAAGCGTATACGTCCCGTTTATTCCCCTTCAAATTTAAAGAATAAAATTCCAACACTAATGGTTAAAATTAAGGAATGGAGAATACATTTCATTAATACAATAAAGGCGTTATAAAATAGGTCATGCTTTTTTTGAAGTTAATTAATAGAAAGCTGTTTTAATTTGATTCTAAGGTAACAGGAAAAACAACCATTTATTTTACTTAAAAACCATTCAATTAATAAGTAGAGCTAAAATGCAATTCAATTTTTACATATACGCTCATAAGTTGAAAAGAACGCGATACGCCATGTTGCTCTTTCGTCATGACGTCACGTCCGTGATTAAAGCATAAATTATTGATTAACACGGCTAAGTAACTACCCTATTAATTGATGTCAGAGCTAGTATTTATTCTATATCAATGTTTTATTTTCTGCCTTTACAGAAGAATAAAATATTTCAAATAGTTTTTTTTAATGACTTGATGACGTATTGCTATGGCAGCCTGCGATTTCTGGAATAGATGAAAAATCTAAAAACCTCGAAATTAACTATTTAATTTAATATCCAAGTTTAGTAACATTTTCCGAATACCTATTGACTAAACTATCTTACTATCGTTTAGTATTTTTATCAGTAAATTCATACCCTATAAGTCGATCGTTGGATTTAAAAGTCTTGAACCACACGGCCATTTATTAATTAAAACTAATAAAAAAATGACCTACTTTATAAATTGGCCTTTAGTTTCGCATACACACTGCCATTTTTTATTAATGATTCTATACTACGTTTAGTATAACCTAGTTCTTTCAGAATTTCTACCGTATGTTGACCAGGCTCCGGTGGAGACAGTTTACCGGTCGACACTCCTGGAGTCTTTGACAATTTTGGAGAAGGTTCTGGAATAACTAATCCATCGGCATCTCTGTAAAAGGATTTATCAGACGAACGATATTTGTGTTTGTCTACCATGTCTAAATCTACAACAGGAGTAACACAAGCGTCCATTTTGTCAAATATTTCACACCATTCTTCTTGAGTTTTAGTTAAGAAGACTTCTTGGAATTTCTTCTTGTGAACATCTACATCGCCACCCATTTGAGTAAATTCTTCTTCCGATAATTCTAAGCCTTTTAAAAGATTGCTGTAAAACTGAGGCTCGAGGGCTCCAACCGCCATAAATTTACCATCTTTGGTCTTGTATGTACCGTAACAAGCAAGCCCACCGTCCAGGGCGTTAGTTCCGGGTTGGCCAATCCAAATAGGTAAATTTCTGGACTTATATAACCATGTGCCAACATAAGCTGCTCCTTCTGTCATACTTGCATCAATTACTTGTCCTTTTCCAGACTTTGTTCTTTCAAATAAAGCCAGAACTATACCTAGGGCGCACATGACTCCCCCTCCAGCGAAATCACTCAAAAGATTCAGTGGAGGTCGAGGAGGTTCCTGGTTCTTGCCAAGCAATGAAAGTAATCCAGACATTGACACATAATTTATGTCATGTCCGGCTTTGTCTTTGTAGAATCCATCTTGGCCGTACCCTGTCAGTCTTGCATAGATTAACCGAGGATTTCTTTTTGAAAGTATATCTGGACCCAGTCCGAGTTTCTCCATGACACCTGGACGATAAGTGTCAAGAATTACGTCTGAAGTATCACATAGCTTTTTGAGAATATTCAATCCTTCAGTGTCCTTTAGATTCAGATTTATAATTCTTTTTCCATTGGCCATAACCTCAAACGGATTTGGGTTCATCTGTAAACAAACTAGTATTGAATTATCTATTCATGAGTTGATGATAAGATTATAGTAGAGTTCGGGAGGATGAGATGGTGGCCATGTACAGAGTACATTCTCATGTACACGGAATCTCAAGGGATGGGCTTGTGTGGGTCCCATGATTGATATCTCCCCGATCCTCTGCCTGTCACGTGAATAGGTAAATATGAATCGTAAACCAGTATTGGAATGCCAAAAGAGTATGATTTAAAGGAATATTATAACGGTTACATATTTATTTTATATTTTTACTTGCATTGTAATTTGTTGTTGATTTCAAAATATTATTATTGCTGTAAGACATATTATTTATTTAACATAACACAAAGGTTTGGAATCACACCACGAAATACTTATATCGGAGTTCAATCGACCGCATACTCTAAAATCGTCCAGTCTATTAAAACATTTAGTATCCCACCAAAAACATGTTCATGTAAAATGTTGGCAAGACGATGATACCACAACTATACGACTCGCACTGATAAAAAAAACAGATCTCATGTAGAGCCAAGCTTCTAATTCTATAAAGGTAAAATGAAGTAAAAATAAGCATACACCCTTTTAAGCAGGGAAACACCACGGACACAAGAAATTATGGGTTCTAACTGATCTTACCTATAATATGTATCTCAGATTTGCCCAAACACATGGAAATTCACCCTAGTTGACACAAGATGCTCATAGTATTATAGCGACTCCTGAACGATGACCCTCAGTTTCTTGTTTTCGCCTTTATTCATCCGGTCAAATAAACCTAGCTACATGAACCCTGAAGGAAAAATAACTTACCTTTTGAACCACGGTAACAGATGCTCCAAAGTCGGCTAATATAGTCCCACATAATGGTCCTGGAGCTAAACCCATCATCTCTATTACTTTGATACCTTTAAGTGCCATCGCTTGTCAATTGCCTAAAATTAATAAAAGTGGTATTCAGATATGCAGGACAGAATAAGTATAGTAAACCATTAAGGATATGAACAAAATTTGTTAACTGCTGGACATAGGCATCTCCTTAAAAAGGAGGTTTTAGCTTATTATACCACGCTGAATATGAAGCCCAAAATCGATCTAAGTGGCGTGCAATGGGAGAGGCCTACGTCCAGCAGTGGACCGCGATAGGCTGATGATGATGATGATACCACGCTGCCCATACGAGTTGGTATAGGGTTTTTTCAAGTTTTTCTTCTCTTTGGAGTGCTGTGGTCCAGTTTGCTTTTTAAGTCGACTCTTACGACACCCACGGAATGAATAGGGGTGGTGACACTCCGTATTCTTAATTCGTCACCACACGGATTTACTAATTTATACCTACTACTTTCTAATTTAGACCTAATAAACCTGCATTAGTTAGTGGGAGAACAATACTTCAGCACAAACAAACCGGCTTCAACGGACTGATATCACAGGGTCACACATAACCTTTTTGCTTGTTTATATTGAGTTGCTAGAATCTAGGAATGGTTTAAGAACACTTACTGAAACAGGCTCTTTTAGATGAGCCTTTGCCTATTTTTACTTCTACAAAGATAATTATTACTCAAAATTTTAGCATTAGTGTAAATGCATAAAATTTTGACGTCACTAAGTACCGAGTCCGATCCTTCTTTAATTAATTGTGCGAACTTGAAGTTTCCGGCTATTGCTACTTAATATTCTACATGTATAATACTGGATGACCCGGCAAACGTTGTTCTGTCATAAAAAACCGCTCAGGTACGAGTCGAACTCGTGCGCCGAGGGTTCCGCACCTACCCAGATATTTTTTCTTTAATTTCAACTTTTATTTATTATTATTCCTTTATTTGTGCTGTAAGACGTTTCTTCTTGCCAAATTTCGTGATTCTAGATCAACGGGAACTACCATATAGGTTTTCGACCCAAAACCTATAGGGTACTTCCTATTACCTAGAATAGTCAATTTTGGTTAAAAGCAAGGTCTTACAGCACAAGTAAAGAGAAAATTCTGAAAAATAAAAAAAGTTCAAAATTAAGGTAAATTTTGGTACTTACAACTTTTCCTGAAAATCGAAATTTGTACATATCTTTTTATCGTTTAGACTCAGGACCTTGATTTTTATACACCTAATAGGGACTATAAACCTTAGCATCTTATAATAATTTCACATCCGTGTGGTGACGGATTAAGAATACAGAGTGTCACCACCCCTATTCATCCCGTGGGTGTCGTAAGAGGCGACTAATGGAGCAAACTGCGTAGGACAACAGCACTGCAGAGAGAAGGAAAACTTGACACAAAGCTTATACCAACCCGTCTGGCCAGCGTGGTATAGTAGGCCAAAACCTCCTTCCTAAGGAGAGGCTTATGTCCAGCAGTGGACTATTAAAGGCTGTTGATGATGATGATAAATTTCAACTTGCTAGGTCTACCTGTTCCCGAGAAAATCGGTGGTGACACACGGACAGACGGACAAGAAAGTGATCTTATAAGGGTTCCTTTTTTACCTTTTGAGGTACGGAACCCTAATAAATAAAGTAGGGGGCGAAGCTAGTCTAAAAAAAGTAGCCTAAGTTACTCCTTATGTCATCAGCCATCTGCCAGTGAAAGTCCCGTCGAAATCGGTCCAGCCGTTCCAGAGATTACCCGGAACAAACAGACAGACAGACTGACAGACAAAAATTGTAAAAAATGTTATTTTGGCATATGTAACGTGTAAACATACATAAGCATTTAGTGAAAAGCGGTTATTTTAATATTACAAACAGACACTCCAATTTTATTTATTTGTATAGATGTCTTCTATTTATTCTATTCTCCGTGTGTATCCTACTTTTTGTGTTTACTAATGAGTATTTATATATGGAAACCTATCGTCATTTAATAGGTATATGAATTACCAATTGATATCATAAATTTACTTACTACAGATAATAAAGATTACACTTATCAAGAGGAACAATGTACGTTGCGACGTGATGAATGATTAACAGAGATAATTAAAGAAATAATTCGATTAATAACTGTTGTAGTAATTCGTTTTTAAAAATTTAAAAACATTTACAAGAAAAAAACACTGGCACTCAAAACTTAAAAATTAAAATTATAAATGTTTTTTTTTCGAGTCGAAAAGTTCCGACATGAATATATATCTATGTTGTACGTTTCGCGATTTTAATGGGTTTTTTTTCCATCTCAAAACATACATTCTTTTGTTAGTTGTTTCAGAAGCTTTCACTTCAAAAATTAATTCGTTGCTTTTCAGCGAGTAAGTCTTCTTCCTCTGATTCTTGACGAAGACTAATCTATACTAATATTATAAAGCTGAAGAGTTTGTTTGTTTGTTTGTTTGTTTGTTTGTTTGAACGCGCTAATCTCAGGAACTACTGGCCCGATTTGAAAAATTCTTTCAGTGTTAGATAGCCCATTTATCGAGGAAGGCTATAGGCTATATATCATCACGCTAAGACCAATGGGAGCGGAGCACCAATGAAGAATGTTTCAAAAACGGAGAAAATTTATTACTATTGAGAGACGCAGACGAAGTTGCGCGGGTCAGCTAGTAGACTAATAGAGAGGCAACGCATACATTCAGTCAAAAAAGTACCGGGAATGGATGATTTGCTTATGGTTCCAAATTCAAATTCAAATGTTTTCCATTTTGGCGCGGAGTTTGAGTTGCATCTGTTATTTATATTAAATACAGTGCTGTTTTTATTTATATCATATCTAGTGTGTATTGCGAATTTCATAATGGACAAAAACATCGAACAAAGTGTTTGGCTTAAATTTTGCATCGCCTATGGAATTTCGTGTTCGGAGTCCCTGAAAATGTTACAGAAGGCTTACGGTGAATCGACTTTATCAAAAACACGTGCTTGCGAGTGGTACAAAGCGTTCAAAAGTGGTCGAGATGTGATAGAAGATTTGCCTCGCTCTGGTAGGCCATCAACGTCTGCAACTGAAGTAAACATCGCAAAAGTGAAGGAAATAGTGACTGAAAATCCTCATTCAACTTTGAGAGAGATAGCCGTCGAACTTTCTGTATCTCACGAGTCGATCCGTTGGCGCTTGGCTAGTCCCAAAAGACCTAAATTTTCTCCAAAAACTCAATCGCCATGAGAGTCGTTGAGGACATGCTCAACGACTCGACAAGTCAATTCCGACCCAACATTCATTAAACGCATTGTTACTGGTGACATAAAGGAGAATTCGCGGCGAGAACTGAACTCAATTCCGGAAACAGCGTTTAAAAAATGTTTTGATGATTGGATTATTCGTTGGCGTAAGTGTATCGTTTCTGAAGGAGCATACTTTGAAGGCAATAAAATAAATTTGAATGAATAACAAACATTTTGTGTATTATTGATCTTTTCCCGGTACTTTCTTGACAGAGTAGTACTTGTCATCTGTTGTGATCTGTCTTGGATAGATCAAAGCATATTCTTGACGGGTGTTGCTTGATGTTGCCGTTAAGTATTGCAAATTTTGCTTTCAAGGAATTTACGCATTAATATTTAGCGAAATTACCGCAGATTAAAGAGAATTAATTAATTCAGTTTAAAGAGAACGGCTATAAGCTAATAATAATATATGGGACATATGACATACAACGCCATCTAGTTTCATACTAAGCAGAGCTTCTACTATGAAAACTATATTGACTGATAGAATATTTATATACTCATGTTTTTTTGTAAGTACATACATATTATAAATAGAAAACACCCAACCAAACAACCAAACCACCCGAAACAAATTTTTGCAGATCATACAAACATTTGGTACGACCCGGGAATCGCACTTGAGACCTCAGCTAACAAAAAAAATAATTAAGCGGTTGCGGGACTTCTGGCGTAGAAATAATGAGTATAAAATCACTTTGATATCAGTACGAGAGAGTCGAAAAGTCACTTGCGTTTCTGTGCGGCAATCCTCTCGGATACCACCGTGGTGTTTATGTCGGATTCGAACCGAATAAAAACTACGCCGTCTCGGGCACCTCCCAGTAGCCGGGTAACCAGGTGTACCCTAGAAAGTAAATCCCTTGTACCCTGACGGACCCCGGGTCATCTATGTGCAAACAAAATCGTCACCCATCCATCCGCAAACAAATCGATAGTTGGGTCCGAATCAAGATGATCGTTTAGCGCAGTGAGTGTACGACTAAAAGGCACAAAAATAACGTCTGCCTTCTGTTAGAACAATAGTCAAAAAGATGGAAAACTAAAATCGAGTTAATTCTACTAAATAGGATGTTACCATTATGTTTGGTGGTTTATAGGTCTTAGTCTGACTTGACTAAACTGCACGGAAGGCGTAGTGGTTTAAGCGGTCACCTCGGCTCTTCCTAAAGTGTTGCGTGTTCGATCCCCACATAGGACATCACTACGTCCGTTTCATGTATATTTGTAAAGACAACCGCGACACATGTTTGTATACCTAGTGCGTGAGTTATATACCTAGTCTTTTAAAAGAAAGAGAGATAAAAGATGTCATTCTTAACCGACTTAAAAAAAAAAGATGGTGGCTCTCAATTCCGTTATTTTTGGTGTTTGTGTTATCTCCGAACGCCGTGAAAATCGGTTCATATAACCGATTTTTCATCCCCAGATCTAGGGGGGAGGGGGGAGAGCAAACAGGGGCATCCGCTTTGGGCGGTAGTTTTAGGGGGCGCCAAAATCATAATATAGTTTGATTAAAAATAAAAAAACGTGCTCCACAAAGCGCCTAGCATATAGGAGCCTGGCTAGCTTACCGTCAACTTCTAAGGAAAAGGCGTGAGTTTTTTAAAGTAATAGTTAGTAATAGTTTATCTCAGACGCTGGAGAAAGGAGCGATACTATAAAGTTTTTTCCTAGGTTCGAAAAAATCGTAAATATATATATCGATATTTTTCAATATAAATTATAATGACTGAATAGGAAACGTCTACTAA